TTCACTTACCGATCTACTTTGAATAGAAATTTTTTTCTGGCAATGCTGGGTTATTATAAAATTTTTTGAAGTGCATTTTAAACGGAGCTAAAGCTTAAAGCTTACAGATAACAAGTCATTAAGACCATTATAATTACAAAATGTCTATTTAATACATCAACGACAGGCAATAAAAATCTATTCACTTTATCTGCTTTTTTAAACCACACAACTTTCTTTGCTTTTAATATCCACAGAATGACTAACTCCAATTTCAACATTTTTGAGTGATGTCATTTTAGTGATATTTTTAGTTGAAAAAGTTATCTATGCAGACAATGGGTAGGTTGATTCCAGAAGTGGTGATTGCAGTGTTGAAATATAGAACTGAGAATAAAAGTATAAATTTAGGTACTACTTTCTTATGAAAGATGTTCTTAGGAAAGACACTTTATTAAATAACTGTAGAAAAATGTTTTTTTTTAATCTCAACAATTAAAAAATTATATTTTAAATATATATCCAAATTTTCACCTCTTCAGGGAAAAAAAAACTATATCTTTCCTCCTAATTGTCCGATTTTAACGCATTTTTTTTTTTTTTTTTTTAAAGAAATTCCATAAACTTTTAAAAACCATATACAATATCCACAAAAAAGTGTATACTTTTTGAGTTATTCGAAATTTAATTATACCATCCCTCGTAACTTTTTTTCTGGTTTCTTTCCGTTGAAGTATGTTATATAGATAAATTTAGAGGGTGTCGAGAAAATGACTTTAGCGAAGTTTCATTGAAATCGGTACATTCGTTTAGGCGCTATAGTCTGTAGGAACGCAAGTTTTTCTGCATTTTTATTTTTTTTTTCTCGTTTATTAATTTATCAAATTCTTTAAAAGTTATATGTAGCATTTTTTCGTAACTCTGAATAATGCGAAATGGTTAACTTTTAAAAATAAACCATATTAAAGGTACTTTAGAGGATGACATATATAAACAATGGGCATTTAAGCCCTGTAAAGTGACATCAACGGGGATAAGACCTAAATGATATTAAAGACCACTTAATTATACAATTTTACACCGAGTTTAATCAAAATCGTTAGAGCCGTTTTTGAGAAAATTTTAAAAATGTGTTTCAGCGTTCATATAATGTGGCACTTACGGTTAGACGATTTAAACGAAAAAGTTACTGTCACATCCGGCCCATATACAAACCTTAAATACTTATTATCAGTTTCGTACTACTTTTCGTTTATGAGCTAGACTTTTAACACATACACACAGAACATTTTGCGACACTTGGTTATTTGGACTCAGGAGAGCTCAAAACATGTATTTCTGTTGAAAACTGAGATTCGAAAATTTTCACGATCGCAATACTTACCCTTACAATATATTACATATATACGTAAGTGAATGTAAAAAAAGTTTTCGGACTGAAACCTCTCCCAAAATGAAATCCTGAATCCGCTACTGCCCTAAAGCACTGCAGCTAACTAACGACACTTTACTTCCCTAAAATTGTCCAAATATGATAATAATCTGTCCTCTAATTTACAATGTTTTATTACTCATTTCTTCCTCCTCTTATCATTACTTTTTAATGTGCAAGTGTCACTCCAACATGATTGATGAACTAAAGATTATATCATACTGACCTTAGTATTCCAAAGCTGATTGTGTCTGTCTTTTGATGGGTTAGGTTAGGTTTAGGTTGTATTTCCGATTTTATTTTACAACCAACGATAATAATCACGTTTACATTTAGTTTTACTGAACAACCTTTTTTTCTGTTGGTTTTACAGACCTCGTGATCTTATGCCGACTTATTAACTATGGTTAAGGTTTACTAAAAACAGAGAATTCAGAGAGAGTAAAAGTGTTGTTATAAATATTGTAACCAACATTTTGACATGATATCTTATCTCTGTCCACTTGTTTATATTATTATTGAAGATTATTTTATGAATACCACACTAAATATTTCAAATTATATTTTATGAACAAGCAGAGTTTACATTCGTGGAGTCGCTAATTCAATCAAACTTTTGTTGGTGATACTAAATATCTTCTTTTGATAAAATATTAGACCCATGTCCAAAGATTCTTACCAGTGTATCTTAAAAAAAAATTTAAATTTTTAATATATATATTTTTTTTTAAACATATTTTCCCCTTTATAACAAAGAAATAAACAAAAATTATCCTTATAAAGGCGTCATATCTAAAATTTATTGTAAAGGCTCGGAGAACAATAATAGTTTTCTAATGGTTCCAGCAACATTTAAATAGAAAAGTCCTGAAGAGTTATCAATGGTTTAGTAAATGACATGAAGAAAAAATCATTAAGTCTAACCCAAAAATATCATTATATAAATAGGGAAACACAAAACAGTTCAGCTCCTTTTACTCCTCTATTATTCAACTAATGTTCTTCCTTCTTTTTTTGTTTAATAGCTATTGACGAGCTTTAGCGTTATCGATAAATAAATATATGAAATTGTATGTAAATAAAAATATAAACGGTAGTTTGTTCAGTACAGCTAATCTCCGAAAGTTCTTCACCGATTTCTTTGAAATTTTGACAGAATGCCGCAATAATATTTAGAAGTGTTTTTGTGTACATTTCATTATCATTAAGACTTTCCTTTCGAAATGGCGGCCGAAAAACGTGATTGGCTTAAGACTACGCCAATACGGATTAAAGAATTTAAATGAAACATGGCTAAAGTCTTCCAGTTGAAACATTTATAATTTATGTATTTTCTTAGATATTACTTTCCCGAAAACAATCTGCGTAAATTGTTATAATGAATTCAGTATTTTGATTGCGAATAATTCAAAAAGTACACATTTTTTTTTTTATTGATACCAATATTTATTTGAAATCATAACATCCAAGGCTTATAAAAACCTAAAATATGCAATTGGACTTTCATATGACTTTTCCTTTTTGAGTTAGACTCCTCAAATATGTGCACACCATTACATGCACGTACCATTTTGCAGGACATGGTTATTTTGGACTCAGGACTCAAAACATCTATTTCCGTTGAAAACTTAGGTTTGAAAATTTTCACAATCACAATACTGTCCCTTACTATATATTGCCTACAAAGATCAGTGAAAGTAAAAATGGTGAAGTCCAGAATTATATAAATTGTTTTCTTCATTTATTTTTGTATGTTTGTTTCAGGGGTTGATCCCTGAACAATATTACCAGAACTATTCATTTATTTCTTTTTGTTTGTAAATGTAACCTTAAAAAACAGACTTATTCAGTTATCTTTGGCCATTTGCCTTTCAATCAGGTTGGAGTGACATTGGTGTAGTAGTACTGATCCATTGTGCCAGGAAGAGAATGGAAGTTTGGGAAAGATTAGTGACCTTATTTATGATATTGGTCATCCAGAAGATTATGATGTTATGCACCTCTGGTGAGTCCCAAGGTCAATGAATCACATCTTAAGACAAAGCTTGAAGCAGAATACCCTGCTTATTGTCAGTTTACTTCCCATACATTTTTCAAACATAATAATTTATATGTACTAAAAATTTTTATCTTCAAATCGATAAAATATAAACCGAGAAACATTTAAATGGGAGAAAGAGGTGGCAAACTGACAGCATCTAAAGAAAAGATGCTAAATATCACCAGTAGTACACAAACGAAAAAGAAATGGACCACACTGAGAGCCTCGAGCCTCTTAATCGACTATTTAGATATGGAAATAGATATCAGCAGGCTTAAAAGAATAGTAACTCCACGAATCGACAACCTGCCATCAGAGCTGTTTATAAATTTATTATAAATATATATAAAAATGAATGTATGTCTGTCTGTTTGTCCTTTGTGCATTACTAAACCATTCATCCGAATTCATCCGTACACTCAAGGAAGTTTTCTGGCATAGTACTTCTGCCTTACGATAATTTTATACATGTAAAGAAATTAAAATGTAAATGTTTTTCTGTTCAAAGCCGCAAAAAAATGTGTCACTATAAACTGTAGCGCCAAAACGGCTTTACCGATTTTAACGCAACTTGGCTAAAGTCTTCCCCTTGAAACCCTTTTAATTTATGTGTATAACATACTTTCCCGAAAACAAGCTGAAAAATGTCACGATGAATTTAATATTTTATTTGATGATACCTAAAGAAGTACAGAATGTTTGACTGATAATATCCACATGTATTTAAAAGATTCCTGAATTGCTTACAAAATAAAAAATAAATCATCGAAATGGATGGTTCGTTGCAGAGTTATTGAGTTTTAAACATTTGCTGCTTTCTATTCAGAGAAGGCCATTTCCTTCAGCTTTTTCACTACCGAAGGTAGGCAAGCATTTTTTTTTATTGATTAATCGAAAATTTTGTAATTACTACAGTAATTGAAATTATCATTTGAAGAAGTTATATGATCCTCCTTATGTAGGTCAATACTATTATACGTTCTTAATATCAATTTTTATTTTAGATTTATAAGTTCAACTCGGACTGTTTCTGTTGATTATGAATGACGGCGTATTCAGTCAGATGATTATGAATGTTCGATTTGAATCATGAGAAAAAAAATCATTAGAATTAGTTTAAATTGAAGCCATTTTACAGGCAAATTTGTTTCCCAACTTTTAAAAAATGACAGATGTCCTTTGCTATTAATCTACTCATATGTGCTTTCTATTTTCATTTCTTTTTCATTTTTCCAGGATAAGCCACAGAAGCGCATGGCCGGGTAAAGCTAGTTAATTTGTAAAATTATGAGGCTATGTATATATACAATTTTATGTAAATTCATCCATATTTCCAAAAATATAATAAAAACTCTTAATTATTCGATTTTGCTTCTTCTTGATAATTCTAAGTCTCATAATTATAATTTTTCTTTTAGTCCCTTGGATTTGTTAAAGTTCAAATAAAGGAGGAATAGAAAAAACCTCTCTCTCTCCTTCCCTCATATAAATATTTTTTACATTTACCAAAACCTAGTAGTAAGTAACATTATTTATGGATTATGACAGGAGTATTGGTGCTAGCTTGGGAAGCAGACTCCGCCGAGTGTCCCATTAAGTGTCCAAATGAAACAAAGTGGCAGTGTGGACGGGAGCGTCAACCTGACGGTTCCTGGAAGTACGCTACCTTCAGAAGTTTGTGCTATCTTATAATGACAAATACTTGTTTAGGAGGTGAGCTACCTATAATTTCTATTTACATAAACTAATCAATATGTTTCTATTCTAGCAGGCTTTGAATAATTTGTAGCATAAATCAGGAATGTCTATCTCTCTCCCGGGCAATGGCTCAGGACCAGGGCGACCAAAAATTCAGCTTTTGGCAGGATAGTTCCATGTTTAGAACATGTGTTCAGGATTTTCTCTGAAACCTGTAAAAGTTCTGCTTGAAATAGCAGTGGACTCCTGATTATCCAATCTCCGATTTACCACTTTTCTAAAATTGTCAGGCATAAAAAATTGGAGGAAAAACTACAAATTATTACACAATGCTTCCTAATGGCTAAACAGTTATAGTAAGTCAACTCACACGATTTCCCTAACCGCTTGAAATTTCAATACTTCTAGTACTAAATTGCCCAGTATAGCATAAAGATGAAATACACATTTTATTTAGAAAATCCCCAGATTTTGAATATTGTCAAACAGAATAAATAGACTTTGGAAACCATCAATATTACAAAAATATAAAACAAGTCATGAACTCCAAACTAATGAGGCATCTCAATAATAATAACATAATTACAGAGTAAAATCGAAGTAGTAATACAAAATTTTACTTATAAAGATAAAATTGTAAATTATTTATAAAGCAAACATTTCAAAACCATGGATCGAGGAGATATATATACAGTGATGGAAAAAAGTATTTGCACATCATGTTTTTATGAATAAATGAGTTCAAGGAACTAAAAAACTTCGCTTTCCTCTGCAAAAATGAAAAGTACATTCATTAAAAACTGAGAAAAACTTTTTGGAAAAAAATGACAACACTCCATAATGAAATAAAAAATTAAAACAATAAAAGTGCTTGGAAAAAAGTATTTGCACACTATAACTCACAAGCTCTGTTTACTTTGGCATTAATACTCCTGTGTCCATAGGTCATAGGTTTGTTTGTTTACTAATTTATCTCTAATCGTTTATTACCAGTATTCTCTAGTCTTTCAATCAGTTTTCTTTAGTCAATAGACAATTATCATGTCAAAGACAAGTGAACTGTGTGCTGTAACTCGCGAAAAAATTGTTTTGCTGAGGAGTCACCAAAAAACATATCGCCAAATTGCCGATTTCTTGGGGTTGAATTTTTCTACAGTGAGATACGTCATGAAAAGGTATGAAGAACGTGGTTCAACTGAAAACAGTGGGCGTAAAGGGTGTCCAAAAAAGTTAACTCCCAGGCTGAAGAGGAAAATCAGAAAAGAAGCTCTTAAAAATCCTCTGATAAGTTCTCGGGAGCTGGCTACCATGGTCCATTCAACGTCTGTAGTTCAGATCACTAGCAGAACAATTAGATATGCTCTGAATTCAGAAGGGCTCTATGGTAGAGTTCTAAGTAAGAAGCCATATATCAGTGAAACGAATCGCAAAAAGCGCCTTGCTTTGGCTAGGAAGTACGTACAGAAATCCTTAAGCTTTTGGGAAAATGTCATTTTTTCTGACGAAAGCAAATTTAATTTGTTTGGTTCAGATGGTCGAAGGACGATATGGCGACATCGTAATGAAGCCCTAAAAAAGCAAAATGTTTTAACAACTGTAAAGCATGGTGGAGGACATGTTATGGTTTGGGTGTGTGTTTCCTACCATGGCGTGGGAAATCTTGTGAGCCTCGAAGGCATTTTAAATGCGGAAGGCTATGTGAACATTTTGCGACGTAATTTGCGTGTTAGTGAGGAAAAAATGGTAATCCAGGATCAGTACTATTCAACGATTCAAAACGTACTGCGAGGAGAACAAAGGAGTGGTTAATATTTAATGCTCTAAGACAGCTCCACACTCCTCCTCAGTCACCATATATAAATATCATCGAAAATTTATGGCACACCCTTGACCAAAATGTAAGAAAACACCATATCACTATTGGACATCACCTTAAATAACTTCTTGTTCAAGAATGGGAACAAATAAACGTAGATTTAATTAAAAACCTAGTGCACTCAATGCCCAGACGTCTACAAGCAATTATTGACGCAAATGTCCTATTTACAACATATTAAAATTTAAAATAAAGTTGTAAATGTGGAAGTGTGCAAATGCTTTTTTCCAAGCACTTTTATTGTTTTATTTATTTTGTTTGATTAAGTGTTTTTATTTTTTTGTAAAAAGGTTTTTACAGTTTTTAATAAATTTACTTTTCATTTTTGCAACGGAAAGCGAAGTTTTTTGTTTCCTTGAAATATTTTATTCATAAAAAGGTGTTGTGCAAATACTTTTTTCCATCACTGTATGTAAAAAAAATTAGGAATGAGCTGCTGAAGAAAGTTAATAGATTGTTCTACATATCATGATAGGTGATAGCCAGGAAGCAGTCATTTTATGATTTTTATTGTTGCTGAGGTTTCAACCTAAGCATGCAGGTCATCACCAATGCTAGTAACATGCCTAGATGATGATATGGGTTATCATTGGAGCATTTTACCAGTACTGATTATGGCCCACAAGCTTGGCCTGAAACATAAAAACCTTAAAATTACTGTGTCTTGGAATGAAGGACCATAATTCATAAGTTGGGCTCATTGTTGTTTAACATTCAAATAGTTCTAAATAGTCACTTCAAATAGCTTTCAAAAGTTAGAACCTCAAGTTATTGAAACTTCATTACAAAAAAAAAAATTGACTGTAATCACTGTATAAGTCTGAATGTGGGGAAATAACCCAGAAGCATTAAAAATTATAAATGAATAAATTTAAAGAAAAGTAAAAGGAATGTTAACAATGTTTCATTATTAATTACTAAATACAATGAACGAAAAATATTGATTTCAGTCTGCTGCACTATTAAGCATTACTATAGTGTCATGTGAAGCCATTTAGGTTAGCCAAGCCTGGTCTAGTAAATAAAATCAAAATTATAGGGCGATTAAGAGAGATAATTGACTAAATTATTTTAAATGCAAAGTGTCATAATCAACAAATTGTATTAACTTGTGATATTATATAATACCATGTTTTAATAGTTTTCTTTATTTAAAGGTAATTATGAACTCTGCAGAAATTGATCCATAATCTTCAGCAGCCTCTTGGAACTAACATATTGAAGAAATATTAGAAACATGCAAAATTGTATTTTTTAATGTAAATAAAATCTAAATTATAAAAGCATAAACACTAATCATCATTTATTTTATAACAATCCATATCCACCAAACCAGGGCATCAGCTGCACAATCTGATATGAACACATGCATTCAAACCTTTCCATTTTCTGTCAATTTATGACAACTTAATGTCACAAAAAAGTGGGAAAAAGAGCAATCTTTGCTTAGAAAATTGTAAAAAAACTTAGTGATAATTTTGTAAGCTTATAACCCATAATCATTCATAATATATTCCTCACTAATGTATTATGATATATTCATACTAGTAAAAATATATTACTAGAAAAAAATATATTCCACCTGCAAGCACGTGTATATCATTTCACAACAAACCACTGAAAACAGAAAATCAAAATAATTTGTAAATTAATAATCAATAAAATCTGGTTCAATCGCATTTCATACAGACATTTTCAAGGGTTTTAACTTACAGTCCGCGCTAAAAACTACTTTATATCAAATTATTAACACCGGTTTAAAACTTCCTAAATGGTTCCATCTTAACTTAATCAACAACTTTTTTATCTACAATAAAACTTAGAAATGGAGTGTTTTCTCACTAAATTAATTAATTGAATGAAGTTCTGAAAATGCATGAATACCTATTCATTTGGCATGCCTAAAGTGACCTTCATTTACAACACATCCAAATAACGAGGTTCGGCTAAAAGGCTCAGTATTTTTGCATACCACCTTTTTTCTCAAACATATGATTAAATTATTTTATGATTCAAGTGGAACGTAAATGGGTGGTTCAGTAATTTTTAGTATCTTATTAATCCAAATAAGATCAACGATTTTCAACAATTTCTACTCTACGTCGATGATCTGGATGTCGTAGGGCACAGTTGTCTGAGTACGGAAAGCGCCTTCCTAAATCTGCAAAAAGTTGGATTGCAGGTCAACTCAGACTCCAAAACTGAGTGTTTACTCTGCAATTCTAAAAAAGGAGAATATTGAGGAGGGAGGATACAAATTGGAGGCTTCAACTTCTAATGTGTTGAGGAATTCATTTACCATTGGACAATATTGAGCTCAACCAATAATAGGCAATCAAAGATTCAGCAGCATATTATGGCGTTCTATAGATGCTATTGTATTATGGGCTCCAAAGGCATCTAAAAAGCAAAACTCTCTTTAGGACCACCAAGATACGCATCGATAAGATTTTTCTCAATAAACCTCTAAATTTTCGCCTTATAAACCTCAACTTTATTAATATGGAAAAGCTTATTAATAAGCTCTAAGCCCATATTAATTAAGTTGAGGTTCATTAGGCAATAAGGAAGTTTTTCTAAAAGTGTGGTAACTATATTATAGTCGGATAATGATAAAAAAAATTGCAAATAATTTATGGTTTTTTTTTTTTAAACAGAACTTAGGTTAGTTTAGCCACTCAGAAGTCCTCTTTAAATGGTTCTAATAATGACAAACTCTATTTTCATTTGAAGTAAATTTTGACTAGCTTACAGTGAAGCAATTGTTAATTACATAAATTAAATATTTCTTAAGTTATCGCTTCCTATTTAACAAAAAGCGACTTACTTTAAAAAACACAATATTTTATGTTATCCATATACTTGGATTTCCTATTTTCCTGCTGAAAATATTGAAATACCCTTGAAATTGATCAAAGAAATATTAGATACAAGCAAAATTATATTTTTTTGATGTAATAGAACTGATTGTATAAGATTGTATCCACAAAGTTTTAAAATTTGGATAATTTTATAATAAATTAAATCGTTAATTGTGATTACTAAGAGCGAAACTACTACTTTAAAAAAAAAAACATTATTTATAAAAGCATAAACACAAATCTTATAATTTATTTTATAAAATACCACATCTATCCAGGTCATTAACTGCTCAATCTGATAATACTCTACATTCAAAAAATATTTCCATTCTATCTATCTATGACAGCTTAATGTCACAAAAAAAGACCAACATTTTAAAAAACACAGCAAAAATTTTGTCAACCATATCAGGATCTTTACATTGACTCAGAGCCTGTCTCAAAAACTCCCATAAATTTTTTAAAAATCAATAAAGGAAATCAGCAGACACAAATATATTTTTAAATAAATTTATTACACCTGGAACAATGTTAAAAAATAAAAGATCAAGAATGTCCAAACAAATTAATGCTTATAGTTTCAATTCAAAGCTTAGAATTGCTGTTTTGTATTTTAATTTGAGATTTTTTCTAAATTTATTTCACTCAATTAGATTCCCTATCACTAAGCATTGCTATAAGATATATTACATTCAACAAATATAGTTGTCTAGAAGAAATTGTTACTTTTAAAAGTAACAATTTTTTTTTTTTTTTTCTGCCGCAGTACTTGATTTTTCAGAGAAAAGATAGGAAACTTTTAACAATTTATATATGTACACATAAATAACTATAATTATATTATATAAAATATTTATCAATATGGTCCCAGTTTATGTACTCACTACCCATCTTCAACAATGGTTTCCTTTAAATATCTATCTATTACATTATAGATACACATCTATTATTATGCTATTAACCTATTTACAAACTTCCTCATTGTTTAGCTCCTTAAAATATGAAAGACAATTTTGGCATTTTCAACACAAAATTCTTTAGTATTGTTAGAGATTCTTCATAAAAATAAATGATTCCTAGTAAGATGTCATCATTAAACAAAGCTCACAGAGCCTATAAACATGACTAGCCTTAACTACTAGAAATTATTATTGGCAACTAACTATTTCTAAACAGTGCTCAGCTAGACCATTTTACAGGAATGGAGGTAATATCCAAAGATGGAGCTACCTTGAATAGGAGCCACCTAGCAATAGCACCAAATGTCATATTGTACTTGTCCAGAGTCTTCTCATTCAGCACTGGTGCTGGGGGATGACGAGAAAGCAAATGAATAGCATAATAATCGCCCCAGTCCCAGTCATTACGCTCATAAAGCTCGTTGATTAAGTTGTGCACACCCAGCTTCTCAGGCTCGCGGTGTGCGATGTTAGGTAGCTTCAATAATATTTGCTCAGTAGGAAATTGGCCAGCATTGTAATACCACATCCTTGGCTTATAGACCCTGTATCCTTGAAGCCATAGCTTCAGGAATCTTGCTTCTTTGTGGCCTATCAGTATCTGAAAATAAAATAAACAATATTATTATAAAATTGTAAAAGACTTTGATGCTAATAAATTGTTTAGCATTGTAGATGTGGATTTATATTAATATAGAACCACAATCTATCAATTCAAATTTTATTTGTAACTTACCAATCAACACATGGTAATACATTTACCAATAAATAGAATTAGTAATGAATAAGATAATAATCATCTAAGACTATATGCTTAAAATAGGAAACTTGCTAGTGAAATAAGCTATTAACAATCTTTCAAACCGTAGGAAAATCAAGTAACAATAATTGAATCAAGAAGTTAACTAAAGTTATTAATAATTGTAATAAAAAGAATACTTCAGTAAAGTTTAACTTCTACAGTAAAAAAAAAAAAGCAATTTTTCTTGTTAATCTGGTATACTAATACTAATATAGGTAGACTGATACGACGAGTTGAGTTGGTTGTTCAAGCTCAGATGTAAACTCCTTTATTTGAATTACATCACGTGGCTTGACAGGGAATATACGGATTGTCCACTCTGTAACCTACCAGTAAAGGAGGACCTATTCCATTTTTTGGCTGAGTGTTCAATGCTTGGTCAAAGTCGTATCGGATTTCTTGGAACTAGCCCGATCCGAAATGATATCCTAATTTCCCTTCTAAATGCCTCCTCTATGAACGAATGTCGTAAAATTGTCAGTTTTGCTTGACATGCATGGAAACAGTTTCAATTTGCTACATCCAGAATAAACAATGATCCGTCTAATTTATTTGTGGTCAGTTTTATTCATGTTATTGTTTATTATTTCCATTATTATTATTTCTTAGACATAAATTATTCCAAATATTTATTATTTTATATTGTGTTAGTTGTTTTATTATTTATCAGTCATGTAAATGCAGTTTTTTTTAGGTCTTTATTTTTACTGTACATGTAAAACATAAAATTTCTGGCAAATGAGTAATCATACCGTATACATGTTCTTTGTAATTTGGAAATTTATAATTTATACATATTTAATAAAGCATTTCTCATTCAATACGACAAAAAACATTTGTACATTTGATTGCACAAAAGAAATTATGTGATATCATATCAATATTATATATAAACTAAGTAACAAAAGAGAAAATGACCTCTGGTTATAATATATATATATTCATATATACTGTTCAAGTGTAAATCTAAAATACTACTTAAATTTAACTTCTTTGTCCGCTAAATAGTTTTGGATTATTAATTGAAAAACGCCCTCACTATGTTAACAAGAAATATAGAAAATTTAAACAAAAATCAATAGTAATAACCAAAGCTGAAACAAATCAAATGGGTTCAATAAATTTAAAGAAACTGGTTTCGAACTTTACAATATACAACAAGTGATTATTTTTTTTCTTCAGTTTGCAAAATCTTTGTTGAACCATCTATGCATCTTTTATTTATTTATTTTTTTGTCCTCCCCTCCTTTGCCTTTTAGATTATAACGGGTTTTCATAATGTTATAAAAGGGTAAGAGAACCAGGACATCAACTCGTAATTATTTTATCAAATTGACATCCATCTGGTTGCCAGGAAATGTGGTGCTGTGCATACGTGTTAGTCCACTCTACCACGTCGACCCCTCTATCTATGTATCTGGAATTTAGACGATTTTCAACTATTGTGGCATTCATTGGTGTATAGGAACTTCCTAATGGAATAGTTCTAGTTATATGTCTCGCCTCTGAACCTTTTTCCTTCCATACTATGAGACCAGTTTCAGGAAGCAGTTTTTTATTGGTTTTTCTTCTAATATTCATTCCAAACCACTCTTGTTATCATGTGGACTTTCCAATCAAAAACATTTAATTCTTCTTTCTAGTATGCTGTTTAGTGTAAATATCTCACATCCATGTATCAGAACTAGCTATATCATAGCACAAAACATCCTTAATTTGAGATTTCTTGATAATTTTCAGGCTTTCATTATCTTTAAAACAGAGAAGTCTCTGATTATGAAAAATTTACAAAAATTTAATACTTGTGATTTAGCCGGTCGCCACGGAAGCAATCTTCTTATCTCGTGTAACTCCTCCCTGCTAAGTTACTTGTGCTTTCTATACAGGCCAACTAAAAACATTAGAGCCAGGAAAAGTGCTTAAAATAGACATAAGACTTTTTTCTAAAAGAAAATATCCTGTAGAGAGTGTGCTCCCAGAACAAAGGATGTTTTGCGGAGCTTGTCGAGAAACAGAGGAGTGCTTCATTGTAAAAATAGAAGATAAATAAGCAAAAACTCTATTAGAATATGTTAAAAATAATATAGAAAAATATTCTGACTATTTGAAAAGATACAACACCCATCAACTAAATGAAGCAAACTATAACCATTTCCAGATGAATCAACAGTATAACTTTATCCATCTTTCGAGTGGATTTTATACTCAACACATAGAATGATTATGGAGCGCAGCTAGGTGGAGAAATAAAAAACATCGAGGAACTGCAAGGCAACACCTGGATTCACATTTATGTGAATTTTATTTGTATTATTACATTTCTTTTTGTTTATCTCAATTTCCATAAATATAAATAAGAAGGTAGGTATTATCAGTATCACAATTATCAGTTTTCAGGTTATAAACAATGGCGGATAGCAGCCCTTAGTTACAAACTTACTCGCAAATACTGAAAATTTATTAATGTGGAATTGCTAAAGACAAACAAAAGTAAATAATTTACTGAAATTTTTTTTTTTTTTTTAATGATCAATTAAAGTTATACCTATTCATAGACTACAAGATCCTCTACATACATAGATGGGCATAATCATAATCAATGATTATGATAACAGTAATCGTGATCACGAATACAATGATCTTGATTACATGATCACAGTGATTAGATTTCAGATAACAATTGTAATCAGGTAGTTTTCTGTCACATTTTTTCTGTCTTTATAATACTATTGAATCAAATAGAAAATTAAGTTTTATTTTCAGTTTCAATCATGTAATCATTAATTCCAACTTTGCCCATCTCTGTCTACATTCATAAATTTAGCACTTAAAATTATTCAAGTTTTTAAACTGTAACATATTTAAAAATATAAACTAATATGACAAATAATTACTGACCTGATTACCAAGAAAATCATTGTAGGGCCACGCTACAACCATTTCATAGTGAAGAAATTTGTCTAAAGGCTTTAAAACAAGCATATCTGTGTCCAAATAAATTCCACCGTGCTCGCTCAAGATAGCAATTCGTGCCACATCAGATCTATGGTAGATAGAGCTTAGAGGCTGGCCAAATACATGAGTTGGTGGGTTAAAGTGGTGTAGGGATACTTTTGTTTTAGTTAGATTCGCAAGGGCTTTTATGAGTGAATAGTAATGGTTCTCCTGAAGTATTTGATTACAGTGGATCCACAGATGGTCAGGTTGTTGTATCTAACAAAAATAAGAAATAACAATCTTATAGTAGTTACATAAACAACTACATACACTTGTTAATGATGACTTACCTTTATGACTGATGTCATGGACAAGAAGGTTGTAAAATCTATAGAAACTAAATCAAAAATCACATAATGAACTAGGTTTGGGACTATTGGGAAGAAATGGCCCTCTTGATTGTCAAAATAGTCAAAGTTAAAATCTTCTTTGGGTTCATAAAACAACCAATATAGGACAGATATTGTAACAAAAAGAATTAGAAAATAAAAAAGTTTCACCATAAACAGCATTCTCATTTTTCATAGTGTTTATGAAAATATTTTAGTAAAGCAGAAATAATTTGAAACAAGACAAATAAGTACTAGTTAAATCTTCAAAGTACTAGAATTTTTAAAAATACGCCATCTAATTTAAAGATATAAAATTAAAATCAAGAAGCAATGACACTAAATAAAATTAAAATTCGTAAAACACAACTAACATTTTTTGAAATGATAAACAAACAAATAAATCAGGTGAGCGATAAGCTGCAGCCGTTCACGAAGGAGCACAACGTCAAAACGTCTTAAAAACAGAAGAAGTTGAAATAAAACATCGAAAAACTTATTGAAACGAATTTTGTTACTTATTGTCTGTAGTCATTTCGATATGACATCCATTACCTGCTATCTTTTATAATTTTTTGACAAACTGAACATCCTACACAAATATATATTTTTAAACCAAAATTTTCCATTGCTTTTGAAAATAAAACAAACTTCACCCTTCCTTTATCGGAAAGATTTAATTCATCTATAATGTTCCTCAAAGAAATACCTTTGATCGGCAAAGAAATCCACAACCTGACATGGATAAAAAACCCTCCAAAAACAATCCTAAACCTAACCAAATTACCTAAAAACCAAACTTCACCTACTGAATACAAGACCGAATTTTCACGTTTCGTTCAAAAATTACAGTAACCTTTTTAATCTTCAGAGATGTGTCAAAATCCGACGAATCTACAGTTTCTTCTTTTGTTACTCATAATTCCACCAACAAAATAAAACTTTATAGATTATGTGGTGTATATACAGCTGAACTCCATGCAATAGCCTCAGCCCTCCAATTCTCCTTCTCAATAACCTCCTCCAGCACTCTTGCTCAATCTCCACTGGGTTTAGCCCCGGTGACGCGGTTGAGAAATATGTGCAGGGATCTCCTGGAGTCATGCTTTTCCCTCCACAGTTGGAGGGACAAGTCTAGTTTGAAGTTCTCTCGCCAGATTATAAATATTGTATATAGGTATGTATGTGTTCTTTTTATTTATTTATTTATAGGTTACTTTATTCTTATTTATTGTATATATTTTTTTTCTGTATAATTTATTTTATTTATGGTACATAGAGTGTAAATGTGATCTCTGAACACTGTTATAAATGTCCTTGAGACAGACTGTAATATTTTTCAATAAACAAGTTTAAAAAAAATAAATAACCTCCAAAACCATTTTAATAACAATGGATTAATTGAGTTCTCTAAAGGGTATAAATAGAGTGATCCGAAGGATCCGACTATCCAAAAAATCCAAACATGTGTAAACATGCTCGAAACATTGGGAAAAGTATTATATCTGGTCTGGGAGCCGAGTCACATGGCAATCATTGGACGGGGCGCTGCCATTCTAACGCCACAAGATATAAGTCTTCCCCTAAAAAAAAAAAAGAAATATTTTGTAGCTGGAAATCTATATGGAGTGAGAGCCCTCCAAGCAAACTGAAAGGTATTAAAAACACACTAAATCCGTGGTCAACATCAAACCGTCCTATCGGCAGAGAAGAGGTTGTCTTAACCAGACTGAGAATAGGCCATACAAACCTGACCCACTCGCATCTCATTTGTAAACAGCCACCACCAAAATGCCAATACTGTAATAGTACTCTTACAGTTAGCCACATTTTTCAAGAATGTTCTTTCTATATCTCAAATTTAACCAATTTCATACTATCACCCCCAATTTCAAACATCCTTAATAATGACGAAGACACATTACAGTTAGTATTGAATTTTTAAAAATTTGTTAAACAAAATTTAAAAGTTAAAATCTAAATACTTATAGTTCATCGAAAAACAAAACTAAACGCAGTCGTTAATGACCTCGATGTTTTACGCCTAAATAAAACTCAAACAACAACAACAACCAATATTTATTTGAAAGCTTAATGAATCCCCTACAAAATAAAAAAAGTCATCGAAATCGGACTATTTGTTGCAGAGATATATCATTTTAAACATTTAGTACTTTTTCTTTTGCAAAGTCGATTTCCTTTATTTGGTTTTTGATAAATCGAAAACTTTACATTTAATGAAGTAATCGGGACTATTATTTAAATACAGGCCAGGCTTCTCCCACCAACTACAGAAGGAAAATCAGTACTCCAAGAGATCCCTGCGCTACTCTGTGGTGCTGATGCCAGTGGATGAATTTTAAAAAAATAAATAAATAAGAAGATTAAAAAAAATTAATATTAATAAAATAAACTGAATGTCTTATCTGTTCTTGGAGCTGCTAATTGTAGGGAGATCCTCAATGCACGTGAGATAACGTTGTTATACTGTACGTTTTCGACATGTTAAGGAAAGTTAATATAGTACAAAAAGTTTGATTGGAATACTTCCATTTTAAGGGTATTTCCGCCTCTGAACCTTGATTGGTTAGAATAGGTTTGGTTATACCTCTAAAATAAAGTAATTATCGTTATATATATATATATATATATATATATATATATATAAAACCTATCGGGCTGAAGCCTCCCCAAATTTAAATCCTGGATTCGCTAGTGTACATTACATATAGGGGATAATAATAGTAAAAAGAAGAAAAAAAGGTGTTATAAAATTCTCTGTTCTCTCGTCATTACTAGTTAAGTCGACTTTACTTCTAATGGCGTTAAGTCGCTCATATAACTCTTATGCTCTTACGCCATTGGTAAAACTCAGTAACTCTAGATTCCAATGTTTCTTTCTTCGATTTCGTATTTTGTTCCATTATTTTATCATTAGTTTAAGGGATGTCGAAGAACATTCCTGTAAGTTTTTTTTTTTTTTTTTTACCTTAAAGAACAATAAAATCTGTAAACGAAGCAAGATCTGAGAGATTGTTTCTTTTGTCATAATTGTGTGTAAAAGTAGCATATGTGTTAACAATGAACCCCAGTACTGGGCAGAGGGCGTAGCCAGGCCGTACCCAACGTCCCTGGTGCACAAGAAAGGTCCCTCACCATGGCCTTTATATCGGGGTCAAAGCCCCGCCCTCTCTGCTTTGTTAATATCTTTTTAGGCCAATTTTAGGATTGTCAAAAAATAATTTTATGTATAAGCATATATGTTCGCATAAATAAAACATACATAAATATTTACACAAGGCATTAGTTAATTCATTTTAGATACAGATTAGCTCCTTCTCCCGTTCTGAAAAGATCAACTTTGTCATTTCGGGAATCCAATGATTTCACTACTGGGATTTCCCGAAGGCCTGCCAAGCCTTTATCATTCAACATCCTAGAATGGATTATACTATGCATGTAAGTCGCCCTATTCGAAAACAACCTGACCTAAAATCTCGCATGTGGTTCCGAGGATCTTCGAATCCAGAATTTCGAAAGGTCTTACAGTGGGAAAATCGTTATACCCTCACATTTTTTAATACTTTTATTAGGAGGAGGGGGGACTAGAATTTTCTACAGGAGTAGAACGCTTAATTCCAACTACTACACCCTTCAATAAAAGTCAATAGTTTTATAACTATTCATGTCATTCATGTCATTTATCATATACCGCCATCACATTTGCTGATTATCAACAATCAGTTGACAGGCGCAAATATATTTTTTGATAGACAAAAAAACAAAAAACAATTACTTCATTTTATACTTAAAAAGAAATTACTGTTAATGAAAACAGAGTTTGTCATTATTAAAATCACTTAAATAAAACTTTTGAGCTGCTAACCTAGGCTAAGTGCTGTTTTAAAAAAAAATAAAATTATCCGAAATTAATTTTTTATCATCATCAGACTATGCTATAGATACCCCACTTTTAAAGAAACTTCTTCGTCTAATAAGCTTTATGTCTGTATTAATTAATTAGGACATTATTAGTGAAAAAATTGAGATTACCTCAAGTTGTGTAAAAAATGATGTGATGTTTTATTCTGTCTAGTAAAAGTACTCATACTTTCATCTAAAATGACTACAATTAATTGTTCCAAAGCCTTTATTTCTCATTTTACATGATTTGGGATGTATTACAATAAACATTATTTCCTAATTCCACTTTTTATTAATAATAAATTCGAAAAATGCCTATTTTTAATTTCACCTACGTATGTATGTAATATATAGTAAGGATAAGTATTGCGATCGAGAAAATTTTTGAATCTAATTTTTCAACGGAAATACACGTTTTGATGTACCTTGAGTCGAAATGACTAAGTCCCGAAAAATGGTCTGTGTGTCTGTGTGTTTCTATGTTAGCAGTCTAGCTCAAACACGAAAAGTCATACGAAACTGATATTACGTATTTAAGATAGGTACATGCCTTAGATGTGACGGCAACTTTTTCCTTAAAATCGGTAACCGGAAGTGCCACTTTATATCAACGCTGAAACACATTTTCACAATTTTCTCAAAAACGGCTCAAACGATTTTGATTAAACTCGGTGTATCATTGTATAATTAAGTGATCTTTAATATCTATTAGGTCTTATCCCCATTAATGTCACTTTACAGGGCTTAAATGCCCAATGTTCATATATGTCTTCCTCTAAAGTACCTTTAATATGTTTTATTTTAAAAAGTTAATCATTTCACATTATCCAAAGTAATGAAAAAATGCTAAATATAACTTTTGAAATAATTTGATAAGTTAATAAAGGAGAAAAAAAAATGCAGAATAACCTGCGTTGCTATAGACTGTAGCGCCTAAACGAATGTACCGATTTCAAGGAAACTTCGCTAGTTATTTTCTCGACACCCTTTAAATGTATCTATATAACATACTTCAACGAAAAGAAGCTGGACATATTTTTACGAGGGATGGTATAATTAAATTCCGAATAACTCAAAAACTATGTACTTTTTTGGGGATATAAGTGGTCTTTAATATCAATTAGGTCTTATCCCCATTGATGTCACTTTACAGGGCTTACATGCCCAATGTTCATATACGTCTTCCTCTAAAGTACCTTTAATTTAAAGTTTATTTTAAAAAGTTAAAAGTTTTCAACATTGTAATCACCACCTCCGGAATCAACTTACCCATGTTCTGCATAGATAACTTTTTCAACTAAAAATATCACTAAAATGACATCACTTACAAATTTTGAAATTGGAGTCAGTCATTCTGAAGTTTATAAAAGCAAAGAAAGTTGTGTGATTTATAAAAGCAGATGGAGTGAATAGATTTTTATTGCCTGTTGTCGATATATTAAATAGACATTTTGTGATTATTATGGTCTTAATGAATTGTTATCTGTAAGGTTTAAGCTTTAGCTCCGTTTAAAATGC